GCCTAAAGAGTCGTGCTGACAGATTTCTTTAATTTACTACAGCGGCATTTCTTTATCATGTACTGAAAACGCTTTTTCTTTTATTAAGACGTCTCATTGATTAAATGTGTAGTTCCACTTGTTTACAATGACAGGAAGGGGAGTTTCACTTGTCTGCCCCGCTTAAGATCAAAGTATGTAAACAGATCACAATGTAAAATGAGTTTGACATCCCTGATATAGATGAGCTCGATATCCAAAACCTTTGCATGTTTTCAATGAATGTCCGGTACAGTAAAAGTGAATATATGAGAGGAAATAAGTAAAAGCATAAAAGTCTCTTCTTAACTAAATAATCTTTCATCCTGCTGGAGGCTGTCGGGTACTCGTCAAGCATTAAAATGGTTTAATAAAACCATTAAACAACCCTGAGAGCACTCGGTGCAGTTCCATAAAATTTCAGTAGGTGGCACTCTGTTCTTTATAGTATCACATGTCCCCTCGCTGTCGCCACAGCTCATTCCTTCAGTTTTGTGCCCGAGTACTCAGCACACCCTGCAGACACACCTGTCACACCCATTGCCACTCAGGTCTCAGGTATGCAGCTGCTCTCATCGCACAACTGCATTCTACGCATTTCACCTCGCACATGAATGCAGGGCTACACCCAGCAGCTCATTTTAGTTTCAGATGGAGCAATTTAGGTCTGACTGTCACATAAAAGGCGGTTAAATGTGGCTGTGATTGACTGTGTGGAGAAGAACTGCGGCGCTGGCAGTTTTTATCACATTTGGCTTTTCTTATTGGTCACAATTAAAGGATTTTTGCATAGTATGCATATTATATTGTGTCACAGCTCTAGCACCTTTAGCTTCACAATGTGCACCTGTTCTTCTGCTTGTGGCCTCAGGGGATGGGAGACACTGTAGGGCCAAATGTCAACCCTAGTTGAAGGGCTGTTTCCTCCTCTAACCAGTGTATCCATCCAGCCCTCCTGCCAAACAGCACAGATTGCTCAACAGGTAGAACTGGCTGTTCTAGGCCTTACTAGGGTGTTGGCACAAGTGTGAAACGCAAAGCAGCATCACCTTTCTGGGTGGGAGAGAGAAGGCTTGTGAACAATCTGTTATCAGGTTTGCCACCACAAGGAATTGTTTTGTAACATTCCTCTATTGTGTTTTCTCAACTTTTCGCAACAATAGAGACACAGTAATGTAATCCACAAAATCTTTTAAATACTTAAAACAGATATTTTTATGAATGATCAGTCCTTCTGTAATTGTTTTATTGCTCACACTTGGCTTTTTTCCAGTGTTAGTAAAACCCATCTTGCATCTTTCTGAGACTATCTCAGTTTAACACAGGCCTGTTGTATTAGTGTGGCGATGAAAGACGGCTTAGATGATGAACAATCGTGTCATTCTTACAGACCTGAACCCTGAAACTAGACAGTGTCTTAACTGCTGATGAGTTATGTGCAGGAATGCATCAGCAGCCTGCCGGGCCACATACCTGCGTCTCTCCCCGAGTTTGTCAGTCGCATTCCTGCTTTAACTGTTGCTCTTTGTATCAAAGTACTAAAACTGTTACATGCATCAAATGTTTGCTTGATCGCGTTTTAAATGAGATACGTCTGCACAATCTGGTAGAAACCTTTTATGATCTGATCAAGTTTCAGCCAAATCTCATCAGTCTGGTTAAATGGCTGATATCGCTGCGTAAATCTGCTTGTAAGTTATTCTACAAAAAGCATAAAAAGGATTTGTGAACATCTCCACTTTCAGTCTGCATGTTAAGAGGCGCGACTGCTTCCTCCCCTTCTCCCCTCTGCCTGTGTGTGCCTAGGATGGCCTCAGAGTATTGAGTGTTCTTTTAGCTGAAAGCAGTCTTTGTAGCTACAAGAAAGCAGAAGAAAAGCAACTGAAAGTGTTAGAGTATGTTCCTAGCTGACCTGTACAGAGAGCTGAATTGAAGTAAGGAGATACATG